CCCACAGCCCGCCGCCGACCCTGGGAGTAGCAGGGTCCCCCAATCCTGTAAAATAATCGTTCAAAACAGGGGGGAGCTTCCCCCACCCTTCGGGGCCCTGGCCCCCTAGAAACCACGGGGAACCGCTTCCAGTAGCCCAGGGCTGCCAAACTGTCCCAAGAGACTCAGACAAAATCCAGGCCCTAATGTCTGCCTGGTCCTGCTCCAAATCGTCCCAGGGCATGGACCCTTAAACAGACCTGAGCTAGCCCTGCAGACCCTCAAAACAGGGGGGAGCTTCCCCCACCCTTCGGGGCCCTGGCCCCCTAGAAACCACGGGGAACCGCTTCCAGTAGCCCAGGGCTGCCAAACTGTCCCAAGAGACTCAGACAAAATCCAGGCCCTAATGTCTGCCTGGTCCTGCTCCAAATCGTCCCAGGGCATGGACCCTTAAACAGACCTGAGCTAGCCCTGCAGACCCTGGCTTTTCACCCACCCCCCCAGCAAATGCAGAACCTTCTTCAATCTACCCAGTTACCATAGACCCCTAGAGCAAAGTGGGACTGGAATGGCCGGGTTGGAATTAGCCCTTTTTGGGCCATTCCTCAATACTGTGATCAATTGATGGATGACATTGACAGTATAATCAAGATTAGCACCATATTCGGCCTGATTTCTGTTTCCAGTGCCAACCAGAGGGGTCAAGAAACAAAGGTCTATCGGAAACCTAGCCTGCAACCTCATGCCCTGTAGCTCTAGGGGAGAAAAACAGTCTTGTGGGTAAGCCACAGGGCAGAGTGAGATTTACTGGCTAATCATAGCTCTGCCACCGACAGAATGAGTGACCATGGGAAAGTCACTTAATCTGTCTCCCTCAGTTTCTATTGGTAAAATGAGGGTGAGTATAGCAGTCTCAAGATCTGAAAAAGCCTTTGACTTGGAAGGAAGACGGGGATTATATTTTATTACTATTTATCAGTATAATAGACTGCCCACAATTTTTTGATACATTGAACCAGAACAGGCCTTATACTAAATGCACTCCAGGCAAGGAACATCTTCTGCCTCCCCCCATTCGTTAAGCTTTTTAGTACCTTACTTGTATTGCCTTGTCGCCCATCTCACAGCGTTGATGCATGATTTGAGGGCTCGATTGTACTCCGTATACACTCCTAGGATGTATCCATCTGAGAGCCCGGTGCCCCCCAACCCCAACCCCCCAGGGGGGGTCACCTCGGTTGTCTGTAGGGATGTAAAATCCCATTTAATTGGTTAACTGGTTAAAGGGGGGACGAGTGGGGCCTGCTGGACTGGAGAAGCCCACAGCCAGCAAAGAGCTGCCCCAGCCCCCACCAGTTAGGCCTCACCCATTAAAGTTAACCATTTACATCCCTCATTGCCTGCCCCTACAGCTAACACTGCCTGGGTAATTAATAAGACAGGTGACTTGCTATAAAGTAGACCTGACCTAATGGAGGACAGAATCAAACTATTAATTCAAGTTTGGATCTTTAGTCTTCTCCTTCTGCCTGATCTTCAACAGGCCTCTCGTGGAGCTTTTGCTGAAAACCAGCTGTGAGCCTTGGCAGATTTGGCTGTCCCTGCCCGACCACCTGCTATTTGCAAACTTCATAGATTCTGGGGGGAGAGGGAGCCATGGCACCTCTGACGTAGAAATAGCCACCTAAAGCACAGCACAGACCACAGAGACTCTCCCGTCCCTCCGTTACGGTATCACGACAATCTGCAGCCACGGTTGCCCGTATGGGGCTCATTAGGGGCATGAGCAACTTTTGAGTCACAAAGAGCCCAGAATTCAGACCCCTCTCCTCCAGGAGTGCAGGCCTCCATCCCTTGAGCTAAAAGACGGTGCTGTTCGTTGGACCTCTCAGACACATCTGAATTGTTCTAATTCTAGGCCACAAAGGCTGGCTGTGCACACTCACTTAGTCATTATGTTATCAAAGAGAGGGGGTGGGAACTTGTGGGGAAGTTGGGAAATGAATGTAGAGTACCAGAGAACCATTTGGGGCACACAGAAATTGAGCTAAGAACATAACAACATAAGAACGGCCGTACTGGGTCAGATCAAAGGTCCATCTAGGCCAGTAGCCTGTCTGCCGACAGTGGCCAGCACCAGAGGGGGTGGACCGTAGACAATGATCAAGCAATTTGTCTCGTGCCATCCCTCTCCAGCCTCTGACAAACAGAAGCCAGGGACACCATTCCTACCCCCTGGCTAATAGCCTTTTATGGACCTAACCTCCATGAATTTATCTAGATTTTCTTTAAACTCTGTTATAGTTTTAGCCTTCACAGCCTCCTCTGGCAAGGAGTTCCACAGGTTGACTATGCGCTGTGTGAAGAAGAACTTTTGCTTATTAGTTTTAAACCTGCTACCCATTAATTTCATTTGGTGTCCTCTAGTCCTTATATTATGGGAACTAATGAATAACTTTTCTTTATTCACCCTCTCCACACCACTCATGATTTTATAGACCTCTATCAAGCTGGAGGTGAAGGGATCAGGAGTTGGATAGATATGGAGGAAGAGGGGAGTAGAAACAGGGGGATGAAAGAAGAGTTTGGGTAAAGCTCAAATATGGGTAGGAACGGGGGGATGCTAGTGGGTCCATTCCAAATGTGGTGTGATGGAATAAAAAGGCAAACAGTAATTACAGGTGCTAACTATGTCTGTGCTTAAATCGAAGCAACCAGAGTCAGTCGTGAAATACCTAATTCCAAACACTGTTGATCTTACTGTATGGGCCTCTGTGCAGCATGGACTCGCCCTGTCCCACTAGGCTCAGCATAAAATCTGGAATGGATATATAGAGCAAAGCCTTATCTATTGTTCTTCCAAAGATGCCCAAGATTGGAAGCCTGGAAGGGAATTCCTCAATACACTGTAAGATTGTGATTGGTCACTACCAATAAACCAGACAAACCACAGAAGTACCGTAACAGAGTGGCAAGGGCAGGCTGGGTTGGTGGAAGTGGAAGGAAGACATCATGGAAAAAAGTATGTGCAAAATCATGACTCAACAACCAACTTCCCTGCAAAGAAGGTCTTGCATCCCACATCAAATGCACCAGGCCATAATGCAGACCAGCTGAGCTCCATGCCAAGGAGTGGCAGGCATGAAAGAGAAAGATAAGAAAGAAAAACTAAACCCTTTTCATAAATTGGCCATGGGAGCAGGGAGGGTGGTCGCTACTGGACAGGATGGTAGAGGAGGTAATGGAGCACCAGAGTCCTGCTGTTTAGCAGAAGGTGTTTCGTCAGATGGGGAGAAAGGAGAAACTTTACTTTTGCTAATACAATTCAATGGGCGTGTTTGCATTGTAATGATACAGGAGGGGGGTGTTGTTCTCTTCGCAATGATCAGACCCTTTGATTGAGATAAATGACGTAGTTTTCTGCCTTAGGAGCAGGACTATTGCCAAGGAAAAACGCCTTTTAGTCCCATGAATTACAAGCTCTTGTCTGAATTCCCTTTGGAGAACGTGAGTGCACAGAAGTCTTCTCCCACCCCGCTCACCCACTCCAGAGTGTTCTGAAGAGCGAACGTGGCCATAGAATCGGGTCATTTTCCAATCCACTGAACTAATTTGTAATTTATGATGGCTAGTTCATGAGCAAGCATCAAACATGTGGGCTCCATCACCAGGAAGTAGGCTAATAAGCATTATTATTATTAATATTTATTATTAATGGACACCCTTCTTACAGCATAGGCATACATGGAAGGGGGCGTCAAGAGGGGATTTGAAAGAAGAAAGGTCAGTGAGTAGGCCGGAAGTGGGGCACTGGGTCAGGTGTAGCAGGCCACTTGAATAGAGGTGTGAAGTAAGGAGAGGGTTGAGGGACACTGTACATACACGTTATTATATTGTACTAATCATGATATTCTGTTATTAATATGATTTGCACTAGTAATTATTACTTCTGTTTTATCGTTTGTTCTTTCATACGGCATTAGTGGTGTGCACGATGCTGCAGAGACAACACAAAGAGCACGCCCTGTGGAACTCCTTGCCAGAGGATGTTGTGAAGGCCAAGACTATAACAGGTTCAAAGAAGCACTAGATACATTCATAGAGGATCGGTCCATCAATATTAGCCAGGGTGGGTGGGGGTGTTTGCCAGAAGCTCGGAATGGGCGACGAGTTGGATTGCTTGATGAGTCACCTTTGGCACTTGGGCTAGGGTGTGTGTGTGGGTCACAACAGGGCTGGCCTTACCATAAGGCGAACTGAGGCGGCTGCCTCAGTTGCCAGACTGTGTGTGTGGGGGGGAGTGCCACTAGGACCCAGAGTGTAGAAATAGCCACCTGCAGAAAATTGTGTCTGTTGCTGGTGCAGATGTATTCTCTCTGCTCTAGATGCACAGAGATGGTTGAGTGCTGTGCTGGAGGAAGGAGGACACAAGAAACATAACAAGCAGGCAGTAGAAAAGGTGGCATGGGGGGGTGTCATTTGAACTCCCCGCCTCAGGTGCCAAAATGTTGTGGGCCGGCCCTGAATGCCAGAAGACAGGACACTGGGCTAGCTGGCCCTTTGGTCTGACCCAGCCTGGCTGTTCTTATGTCCTCACCCATCCAGGAATTCACAGCTGAAGGCCTCATTCCTGTAAAGTTATACCAGAACTGACTGAGTGAGTAAGCCCACGGAAATAAGCCATGTGTAAATTTAGTAGTAGCCACATGTGTAAATTTACTCCCCAGCGTAAAGCTTTGTAGGATTTACACTCACAAGTAACTTCATGTTCATGAGAGTTTCCATTGAGCTCAGTGATGTTATAATAAGTAACGTGTGGTGCATACATCTTTGGAGGGTTGAGCTCTAAGGACTCTGTCCAGCAACCACTGACACCCACGAGTAACGACTCCCATGAGTATTCCCGCGTAACACTAGTCGCCTGGACAAAGGTATCTCTCTGCATGCGTCTTTGCAGGGTTGGGGCCTAAATGCATAGATGATCTTAGCAGGGTGTAAGGACCAAGAGCAGAGATGGGGGTGGGGGCTGAGATTATTTAGAGCCTTAAAGGCAAGGAGCTTAAATCTGACGGGGTGACGATACCAGAATCTGGCAAATGAATTATTTCAGGGAGGGGAGTGACATGTTCGATTTGCTAGTCAATACGTCACAGGCTCCTTTAGAAACCATTCCCAGTCAGCAGTTTGTTTGGGTGGGCGAGAGGCCTGGAATGTAGCAAGACGGCCCAGTCTTTGCACTGGGAACGCCATGACAGCAGTTGATGGAAAAGAAATAACTTAATGGTCTTCTTCCTGATGAAGATGGACCCTGAAAGAGTGGATCTTGCCTGGAAAACTGCACTATTGACACGTGAATGTCCATGGATCCGATACGTGGAGCTCCTGGGCTTGTTTTCTCAATCATACAGATTTTGAGAATCGTGTCCTGTTTGCGTTTCCATTTGACCCTATTTTCCTCCTTTCTTCCATCTGGTTTGATTTTTTAATAGTTCCAACTAGCTGCTTTTGCCTGCTCTTCACAATGATGATCTGATCTGTC